CCGGTTGTCGATCGGGATATAGATTAGTACATAGGTGTACTCCGATCTAATCTAGGATTCACCAACCCTGGTTGTTTCGTCATGGTGAGTCGCTGACACTTCAGCTTTTTCTCAGGCGAAACAATTATGTTATTCGCTAACTTTAAGTAACCAATTTTTATTACCGGCAAACGTTAGGGAGTGCAGAATACGCTCCCTAACGTTTGCCGGTAATAAAAATTGGTTACTTAAAGTTAGCGAGTAACATAATTGTTTCGCCTTAGAAAAGCTGAAGTGTCAGCGACTCGCCATGACGAAACGACCAGGGTTGGTGAATCCTGGATTAGATCGGAGTACGCCTATGTACTAATATCAACAATATATTAAAGTCGATATAATCAGTGTTTTTTTATAAGTAACCGATTTTACCGAGCAGTACCCAGCCAAGCCTGATTTACTAATAGCTGCATGCTTTGCAAGCCTTTATTGGTTGCTCCGGAGACCTGCTTTTTTGCAACTAGCCATCTCTAAAGGCCGTCCCGCTATACACCACCTTCAAACATATCCGGTAGCCAACAATTCTGGTCAAACTGGTTTACAGCCAGTGTCGCCAGGCGTGCTGGAAGCAGCAGCAGCAACCGTGAACGGCTGGTAAAGTATTCTCCACATTCTGCTGAAACTTGTTGCTTGGGATTTGTAAAAAATGAACGCCAGCTACCCACAAACTTCGCTTTTCGTGTAGTAGCCGTCTTGCCGTAGCGCTTGTCATTTTGTATACTATCTGCGTCACTTTTGTCCGACCTACGCATAACTCCCTACTTCCCTTGCTCTCCCCCTAAAGTGCGCGTATTTTGTTTTAGGATATTGCACCCGATTTGAAGACCGCCGCTGCTCACTGCCTGCGTCGTCTAGCTATAACTTTTCAGGAGGCTCAGAGGCTTAATCATCCAGCTCTGCGCAGCCAACTCGTCAAATTAGAGCGTCTGCTCTACGAGAACATGGAACGGGTAAGTCACGGGCACTGACTTCCATTTGAATCGTGTGCTGCTGGTTTCTGAGAATACTCTCCTGATCGGTTTTTTATCG